AAGTTTTGAATATTTTTTACAATATCTACATATATTTCTTACCTTCACCTTTTGATCTGACTCGACCGATACCCGTCAAAAAGGTGCCTCCAACGCGACTACCTGTAAGTTCTGTAAATACCACGTGTGAATTATTTATTTCGGCCAGACACGCATGTACACGCCCACACACGAACACACACCAGAGACACGACCGCACACATAACCACACTTTTTTTGTATTGTAAGTTTTAACGGATTAAACAGAATTCGAAAGTAACGAGTGTTTTAAGTGGAACGATAATGGCGGCACGATTGAGACATCTGTTCTACCGTCGTCGTCGTCGTCGTCGTCCGTTAGGATTTTATTGGCCAGCCGGCGAGTTTATACCCTAACGCGTGCTACCGGAGTCTCAAGGTCATACCGGAGATCCGCAGGATCTCTCGGATTATCGTGCACAGGATACATTTCGTTCTGCAGCCGCAAGGACATGCGTTTCCCTATAAATGCACGGCGGTTGCGTTCGATGATCAGACAAAATTCTTCGTTCAACAGAGTCGTTCTCAAACATGTTCCCAATTTCGTTGATCGTGCTCTCGATCGTTGTACCGCGGATCTTCTGCGGTTCCGAGTCGATTATCCTAGAGGGCGAGAATCGGTCAGGCTCCTCTTTGACGGATATCCTGCGGAAAAAGATTGATTCTGCCCGCGTGACCCTTAACGACGAGAAAACGAGCGAGGGGGACAGCTTCGCGAGGGACAGGGGCCAGGCGGGATTCAAGGAGTTTATGCTGGACGAGAGAAAGTACGACGAGCAGGACACCGCGCGCAAAGGTCACGACAAAGGACAGCACAGCTTAGGCGAGTCCGAAGCCATCGATCAAGGGAGGAATGCTTTTGAACGTCACGGGAGCGGGTACTACAAAAACGGACACCATAGGACCGGTTTCACCAACAACTACCATAAAGACGAGTCGGGTAATAACTCGAGCTTTTACGAGGACAGTGACGACGAGGGGGGCCATAGGTCGTCCGGGAACACCGGCGTTTATTATGGCCAGAAATCGCAGGACTCGTTCAGGGATGGGGCCCGCGACGCTGCTTACAGCGGGAAGGATCGGAGCCTACAAGGCTCCTATGACAATAGGCGAAAGTAAGTTGTAGGAGATTCAACCCTTTGCGCTGGGCAATATTTTTCATTGCAAATACTCATTACTTTATGAGTAAATATTAACGATACGCGATTGCTTTTCTTATAGAAATTGAGGGACAGAACTATTTTATTTCGACAATAGGCGAAAGTAAGTTGTAGGAGATTTAAAAGGATAGGCTATAGTTTTCTAATTTCGTAATTATCTTATCTTAGTAATTATTTAATTATCTTAGGTAGCACGTCAAATGGTTTGGTAATTAGAAAACATTGCCATATAGTTGAGAATTAATTTACTTATTGATTGTTTCAATATTTTTATCAATTTTGAGAATTCAGCCAAATGGGAAAGAGTGGAAATTACACGGTGTGAACGTGTTAAACGCTGAGTAGCGCTAAGTTTCTAAAAAATCAACGGCGATGTTAATTTGTTTTTAATAACTTCCATTCGCGATCGAAAATTTCGTGGATTGCAGAGTAACCGTAACATTTATTGTCCTGTTCAGTTACAATGATTATCGCGATCACACCGGAGGCTACTATAAAGATCGGTACAAAGATGACAGAAGGAACTACCTGCAAGACGAGGCGGGACATTACATCGATCGAAATGGGAACGAGATATATCGCAGAGAAAAGTTGTACCCAACTTTCCGTAATAATCATTATTTCGTACAACCATTCAGACATTCCCATTATGACGTAGATTTCACACCCAGAAATTACTACACAGATGATCCTTACGTACTTGATTCGAAAAATGATAGGTAATTAACATACGCTAAATTTTTAAAACAGCATACAGTGTGTGGATGATAATTTATTTATTTATAGATATTTTCCTACCAGCCGACTGGATTACGAGTATGAGCCACATTATCCTTACAGGGGTCATTACGATAGAATTTATCCGGATGATGTTTACGACCATGGATATACAAACAAATACAGAATTGGTTTTAACAAAAGATATAGATTTTAATACATGTTTATAAAATGTAAATACACGTAAATAATTCAATAAATGACTTTTATGGTTGTATGGGGGTTTTGTTGTTCACTGCACTATCGCGTAGACTAGGAGATCCACCATTGCCATGAATAACGGATACATCAAAGTCTCTGCAATGTTATTATGATTGCTACAAGTAACGACACTTTGTAACTAATTACGTTGTCAATGATTTTTATGTACGATTAGAAATTCTGTCTAATTAATACGTTCATAACCTACGGGTGGCAGTCGGCTGCGTATTTATGGCGTTTTCGTAACACGTGAAATGAAGCATGGTTAAATAAATGTTCGAAGCGTTCCTACAAGTCCGTACAATCCACAAATATTCCGGATCGAGGTAATTCTTCTCGTTCATTCTTCGAATTGTCCCGGAATTGAAATATTTAACGATACTTTGCTAATTTCAATATAAAATTTTGATAGTAACCCTCATTCTTTGGTTAATTTAATGGTAAGAACAAAAATTTCGACTGTGTAATTCAAATTCATCTTCGCAGTTTTACCAACGCGTTACTTTGAATGATAGATTGCAGACTAAACAACTTAAGGACTTTCGGAGTACTCACTGTCAAATTCAAGATGTATATAGATTTAAGAAAATCTCGAATGAGTGGGGAACATTGTTTCCGAGTTGCTAGCGCGAGTAAGTTAGACACCACTGAATTATACTTTCATTAGTATTAAAAAATTATGAACATGTGAACAATTTTTTAGCGAATACGATTCCTGTGAACTGGGCACTAGCCTGTAGCCATGTTGAAAATTAAGTACGATCTTTTATGTATAGATGTCACTTTCTGATTCTCTCGGCAGTAGAATAAGTATTCACGAACACAGACGTTAAAGTCACTTATGTAATGGTGGTCTAAGACCACATTTGTCTGATCTGAGGTTTGAATAAAGTATTGACAAAATGTCTTTTAGCAGAGTAATTGTAAGTAAAATGACGCAGGTCATGTGTTACGGTTGTTTGTTACAATTGAATTAAACAGTAGCGAATAACATTGATTTTCTAATAGTAGTATAAACTTCCTTGACACCCTACTTGATAAATTGATAGAATGAAAACATTGCTAGTATTGTTTTACGTAAATTATAAGAAGGTAATAAATTTTATTTGTTTTTTCTAGGCCCGGTCATTCTCTTCCAGTTCTGTCATCCAGCAGATGGTCAAGGTACGTTTTTTCACATATATATTTAAAAAAATTATATAACTTAAGAAGCAGTCATCCTCCATTCTTAAAATTATAACATTTTATTAATAATAAATAATCGATTCATAAAGTATAACAATACTTCTGTATTTTTTTTAGCCTCCAATTCAAGTATTTGGAACAGAAGGACGATATGCCTCAGCCCTTTATTCAGCAGCTTCTAAGCAGAAGACATTGAATAATGTTGAAAAAGATCTGATTAAGTTACAAGTATGTATTCCACATGCTCAATTATATTCTAATAATACAATATGCTTTAATAAGTACTGTGATACTAGGATACCATAAAGAAAGATACAAGATTAGAGGAATTTATGAAAAATCCATCGATTAAACGAAAGGAAAAAGTAGAAGCACTTAAGACTGTCAGCAGTAAACTGAGTGTGAGCAAAGAGACTGCCAACTTGTTAGGTTTACTTGCAGAAAATGGCAGGCTCGGGAAAATAAATACTATAATAAATACATTTAAATTATTAATGGCTGCTACTCGAGGTGAAGTTGTTTGTGAAGTGACCACAGCAAAACCACTCGATGCTGATACAAAAGCTAAACTTGAAGCTGCTTTGAAAGGATTCTTACAGAAAGGAGAAACTATTTTGCTTACTGCAAAGGTTGATCCTTCTATTATTGGAGGTATGATTGTATCTGTAGGTGATAAATATGTGGATATGAGTGTTGCTAATAAGATTAAAATGTACAGTGACATTATTTCTACAGCAGCGTAATCGCTATTTAGAGTATTCAGTAATATGAAAAGGGATAAAGTACTGATTTAGGCAATCGCAAAATGTATATCATAGAACAATAAATTATCCGAATCCATTTACCTATGTTAAAATGTCTATTTCTCATTCCATTAAACCATTGTGTATTTCGAATACCCTTGTTTTTTCTTTGTAAAAGCATATAATAAAAAGGAAAAATTAAATTTTATTTTTTATTTATTTCATTTAATAAGGTGTAACATATTTAATTAGAAAAAATGTGTAAGCAGCACAGTTATATCCATAATGAATTAAACTTCAGATACATATGTGTATACATAAAAATAAAATAATTGCTTACCTTAATACCTACAGTTACACAAATGTTATTACATTAGAAAATTAAATATGTTTCTGCGACGATTTGTATTAACATTTACATTATCAATCAAAATACATGGTACAGTTTTTCTTATAATTTTAACTATGTAGTATTATCGATTTCTCTTAGAAATTGAAATATTTTCAATAACAATAATTTTATTAAAAATATTACACTTATACTGGAACATACAGGAAAACATGTACTGTATAATACTTTGTAATAATAAATTTTTAAACGAAAAAAATTTAATCCTAAAAAATCACAATTATGCTTTCTACAGATATAATACATTCACGTTATGCAATAAATTTCTATTGCACTAATATTATAAACGAATTGCACGCAATTATTATTTTTTGTAAGATAAACAAAAAAATTAATTCCACAATATAAAATAATCTTGCAGAAATATTATAGAAATTCGTTCTAATTAAAAGCGCCCATTAAAAAGTTTTATATACTTTTCATTTACAATAGAAGTAGAATATACTGCACTGAAATACGACTAGAAGGCATTATTTAATTATGACTCAAATTTTGTGTAAAAATACACGCTTAAACGATCTGTTTTCTAATGTAAGCTTCGCTTAATAACCGGATGTGCAGAAATAAATTGAAAGCACATCTTTGGACAACTTACTATTCGTAAATTATGAATGGAAATTGAAGTAATTCGTGCATGAAATAGTTGCTCTGTTATTAAATCTTACATTGCAACCGAAGATGTGACATTTTTCACCAGAACCCAACCTTCCTCATCAAGAGCAGTTGATATCATAGTTTCATTTGATAAGACTGAAGACGTTAGAAATAATAAACAACGTTAAATTCGTATTGTAAGGACGTAATACTAATAATTAATTATACTCACTATGGAATTCTAGATCGTGCCTATCCACATCTGCCGTATGCGATATTTTTCGTGAGTCAACGTAATTACTGTTGAATAACGGGTCGCTTAACTTCTCTTGCATGAGTTTTTTCCTACATTCACCTAAGTCTTCCAATTTCTTTAATTCCGTTCGATAACTGACGTCTTCGTCGCCAGACTCGGTTTCTGTATGATCACTGTGCTCATTGTACACCTCTTGCTCACTGTTTCTTTCGTCTATCGAAGAATCATTGGAATGTATTTTGCAGTCGATATATGTACTTGTATCGATACATTGAGAAACATTTGAATTTGTAGTACTGATTTGACTACTCGTCATGTATTTCGACAAATCAAAGTCCAGAACATCGGCTAAAAGTTTCTCTTTATTTTCCACGTCGCGTTGTATCAGTTCAAGATTTCTTTCTGTTTTCAATATAAAGTCATCGTCGACGCTGAGCGTCAGTAAAGAGGAATGCGTTGTTTTAGCGTCGTTGGCATTTATTTTATCCTTATTGAAGGCAGACATATCATCAACGTCGGACAATGATGAACCACTTTCGTTTCCGTTTATTAGTTTATTACGCGATTTTTTAAGTTTCCTTTCTGGTGTGAAAACAACATCTTCAAATTCTTGTTGACTGATCTTTTGGAATATTTGCCGTCTGTCATTGTGTTTATCCGTTTGTTCGGTATTCTTTCTTCTAGAGGCACCATTCTGCTCTGCCATAGTACTACTGTTTGCTATTAAAGAAGTATTTAAATTAATTGGTATTACAGGTGGTACTTCTACAGCTTCTTCTGCGTGGACTATTGAAGTTACATCAGTGTCAGCCGTGACAACTGGTGTAACGCTAAAAATAACATTTCGTTTAATATAACGATTGCATATATATACCAAGATACAATAAATGTCATGTTTCACCTTACCTAACAGATTGAATGATATTAGTTGGATTCATTTTGTGGAAAGGAATGGCTGGCACGATCGAGCTTTCCTTCAATTTAGAAGTTAATTCTAGTATGCCATTAGTTACTGGTTTACTGATTTCTGCAATTGATGATAGTGGATCAAGGATATTTTTTCCTCCTAAAAGCAGAATTATTTTATAAATATCAGACAAGATAGTATAACACGTATTTAAAAAATAAATATATACCAGTTGCAAACATATTAGTCTCAGGATAATATGCTATGCGTATAATGTTCCTTTCACCTTCCAAGACAAATATTTCATCTTTAGTGCAAGCAACATCAGTAACTCGACGCAAGTCAGTTACAATGGACGTTATAGCAATAGTCTGTGGATTTACTACATATATAATATCATCGCTATACGTTACTAATAAGTCATCGCAAAAAGGTAAAATGACACCGAACGTAGGTTCTCCGCGACTTTTTTTAGAACTTTCTGGTGCTGGGTTCAGCAGTTCTACCTCTGTGTGACCAGATCGAATAGCATCCTTAAAAGTATATAATTTGTTTAGATAATATAAAGACACCTGAAAGAAATCATACATTTATATACAAACCTTAAAGATAAGTGTTTTTAATACAGTTCCGGTCTTGTCAGCTTGCCACAAACGTAACCCAGGTCTGCTGGCATAAATTACCAAATCTTGCACGTAGTTTTGTCGGCAACCGAACACGGCTCCTAAATTTCCTAATCTAAAATATAAGACTGTTAGAGAAATTATTTTATAACGGCAACGCAGATTATATATTAAAATTGTAATATTAACGTTTTACGTTCTTTTTGACCAACTTGTGTTACTTTGCCATTCTCATTTCTGTTTACTAATATTGTACGTAATGTTGTTGAGACCAGTAATAAACCTTGCTGGTAACTCAGCTGTACAACTGCATACTTTTCATTCAATAATTCTGATGATTTTGATAAATGCTATTAAATATTTGTGTTAGAAATATATTATATATGCGTATGTGTATCTATGTAAAATAGTATTTATTTTCTACGTACCATATAAAAATCAATTTCAGTCAATGCTACTAAGCCATCTTGGTCTCCACTGAATAGTTTCATACCATTCTTAGACCACTCAACTCTTGTCACTGCACTATTATGCAGACCAGTGATACTATATCTTTCTACTTGCTTCTTTTGCTTTGGTTTTAAGCTGTCTGGTAATGAATCTGGTGGATTTTTAGGTATTTGAAATACAGTTACAACACCATGTTCATTACCAGCAGCAACCATGTAATCCACAGTTGATATTACTTGAATACACGTGATCTTTGAATTTACATTCTGAAGAAAAAACATAATTTTATGTAAGTTCATGAACCATTTATAAAAACGTTGTGAAACGCACCTCACATCGAAGTCTTTGAAGATCTTGTTTCTCTCTGTTAAACCAATAAACCAAACCATGGTTAGTTCCAATGGCTATAAATTCAGGTACTGCATCAATACAGGTAAAATTAATATTATGCGTGAATAGTCCATTTTGAATCTTTGCGGGTATTTGTTGAAGAAGCATAGCAAGAGGAGCCCATTCTCTCAAGGGACCTCCATCTTCACACATAGGTGTTGTCATAGCAAATGCTGTTTGTACAAAATTATAGTAAAACAATATGAATGATTTATAAGTACTCTGTCGAAACGTTATTCGATACAATAACATATATACATTGTCCTACTAATATCAGTGAAAAACAATAACGTAATATGCTACTGTAAATAATACTACTCAAATATCTGAAATTATATTTCATTACCTTCTTATCGACTTGATGCGATATGTAAAGAAGATCGTATAGTTATCAAATCACATTTTTCTCACCATGTTTAATGAAATAATGACATTTTGATCAATATTACAAAATTAACGGCTTCAGGATCATTTGACAATTCGGCAAACTGTAGCAATATTGTATCGTTATATGTGCACGCCTTCTGTTACCATGGATTATATCATACATAGAGCAGTCGCTGTCATAATTTTACCACATAAGTATTTTGTACTTCTTGGATTTCTTTTTTATAGTTTATAATATGTCAGATCAAGTTAATATAGTTCATAATTAAATAAGCAATTAATAACGATATTTCAAAATTCAAAGTAAAATATTCTATGACGAAGATAATGAAATATGTACTACCATAGAGTTATATTTAATATTGAACAAATTCCTAAAATTCTCATTTTTTCTTTATGAAAGCTTTAATTACATATTGTGACAATTACTTTACTTATGGGCAAATTGTATAACAGTATAATATGTATTTTTCACAGCAACGTAGGTAAATGACATCGCAGTGTATGCACATGCATTTGTCACGTATACTTGCACCATGCTCCAACATTTGTGAAATACCCAATTTCTAAATGTTTCTTTTTAAAATAAAAAGAAATGTTAAGTATTTGTCAAAAAATTGGCAGTATTTCATTATTCTTGTTCAGACAGATTTCTAAATTTTTGTTCAGAGAACGGATATTCTCAAAAATTACAGTACAAAATTCGATATAATGAATATTAACCAATTTGTAATAATATATTTATGAACAACTGCATTCTATATCAAAATGGACTAGAATTAATTGAATTTATTTATGTCTTAAATTAAAGTGAATATTTGATATTTATTAAGATCTCCAATATGAAGGGAAATTACCAACCTAAGTTGATATAGAATATAATTTTTTCTAATGTTCATTTTGTAAAAACCATACAAGTTTATTTTAGAGACAGCAATAAAGTATTAGATTAAATTAATTACTGAATGCTTAACAATTTTTATTTGAACTAATGTAAACTTCTCACAATATTCGTAATTGAAATTGAGATAAAAAATCATTCAAGATAATAATTTAAGGCAGGGGTGTCAGACTAGGGGTTCACGAGCTCCATGGTGACTTCTTCACTATACTCACCTACTTTTATTTGTTTATATTGAACACTACATAAAGCTTCTCATAGACAGTGTAGGGCAGCTCCTAGAATAGAGGTAATTGGACAATACTAAACGGGCAATTCGACACCTCCGATTTAAAGCGTTATGTCTGCAAAATTCAAGTATTTGAAACTTAATAAATAAACTTGTATAATGTGCACACATACCAAATATAAAGTACTTTTCAGGTAGTAATAAAAACCAAATCTTTACAAAGACATCAATTTGATTTTAACAATAAACACAAAATAATAAGTAACAACTTGCTAATTAAAAAATGACAGTCCGATTCGCCTTCGAAAATTCAATATAAAAATTGTAGAAAATAATTGAAGCAAAATTTATTTTACGTATAAAATGATAGACTTATCATGTACAAACAATATTGCTAATAATACGTTTCTTCTGTGTTCTTTTTTTCTTTGTCATAACAAACCAAATAATAGAATTTCACGCAACATCAGGAATAATATGGGACTCACTAACGGGGTTTTCACGAGAAGTCATTATGAAATGAATTTAATTTAAACATTATACAGCCGATGACAAAACAAAAAGTGTAATGCTTTCAATCTTACTGCCTGACTGGTTGTAAACTGTTATTCTTTTACAAGTATTCTTATAATTATAATAATAGTATAATATTAATATTATATCAGACAGATTCACACAACGTTTCTCAGTATGAAAAGTGATTTTTTTTTCTTTATATATTTTCTGCTTTTTTCTTTTACGTTCTTTTTCTGCTAATGTTTACGCTCCCCAATGACTAATACATGTAGCGCAAATACTTGGTAATCGTTTCCGTTTAAAAGAAAAACATGAACCTTCGATGCGACGACGGTACAGAGCATTATTTTTTGGGGAAGGGAGTTTGCGTATTGTTTTTCACTTGATTTCTCTCGTTAATATTATTAATTTTGGATTCGCTGATACACTCCTAATTCCTGTCAGTGGCTCGGAGCTTCTCTTCCACAGCTTCTTCGGAAGCCTCTGAAAGGTCTGTTGCCTGTATGTACTTTTGCACACCAACTAAGGACTTTTTTAAAGCGTCAAAAGAACTCGAGTACAACATCTTCTTCTTAACTTTAGCCGTGTCAGGACACCACGACATCAAGAACAACTTCTGTTTCTTGGAGGCCTGGAAATAAATTAATCACCGGTTATTAAAATCCTAATAATCTATCATCGAATAAATGAATCGTTAAAAAAAAAGAAAAAAAGAAACATTACCTCGGATGTACCCTGACACTGATGAGTGTATTCAAAGTCGAAAAGACCGTAGCGACACTCTCCGCTACCACATTTCTGCAAATCTTCGAGGAAGGCATCATAAGCGGCGTCGCGAGGTCCGATCACTTCAACATCGATTTGCTTTTCGTCCTTAATGTAAAAGATTACATATCGATGCTTTTTGTCTTTTTTAATTTCCTCGTACGTTGTCTTACAAACGTCGGCCACTGTTACTCCAGATGCCTAAAACAATTATTAACCAAGACCAATTATCAACCAAACGATCAAACCACATTAAAACAATGAAAAATATTCAAATAAAATTTCGAGCACACGATCGTCGAAGACAAACCGTATGCACCGAGCCACAACATGTTGCATAATGGCTCGATGAAAAGTTTGTTTACAAAACTCGAACCGCACCTGTTGAAACCGATACCGTGACAAGCGACTTCTAACTCGCACCGCGTTTTACGAAACGTATCTTTATCGCGTCGGTACGAACATTTGCTATCCAATTAAACGTGCAATCAGTCCGCAGAAATTATTCAGCGACGAGTGCACTCGTAATTACGACGAATCATTCGGAATTCTTTAAAGATCAAAAGCTGTCGCGAATTAACCCTCCTCCCTAACCCCCGCCCCTCGCATCGATAGGTGATTCCCCTTTTGGTACAGTCCGAGCGAAGACTCATCGGACGCTTCCCTGCGCCGCGCGTACGGACGACGACGGTTCGCTCGTTACGGGGGAGGGTAGTGCCGGTATCGACGCTATCAGCGTTAGGCTAACGTCGTGTTAGTCTGGCCGTTTAAGCTTATTTCGCGGGTAAACGTGGGGGACGTACCGAAATAAAGTCTTCCCACGCACGAATCCGATGCTAAAACAGATCCGACGTCCATTTCTAAAGTTATCCATTGCCCGCGGGCACGTGCCGCACGGTGCAGAGGTCCGTTCGATTATGTGCTCCTGCCACTCTGTGGAAAATCCGTGAAATACGAGCGTCGCCCCGACGGACGACGGGCCGCGCCGCGAAAATTCTAGGGGATTAGAGATGAAA